GCAGGTACAAACGGCCGCGTTTTGTCTTCATATCATGTTTTGTTGCGATGAGTCCAAAGGGTGTGCAAGACAACCGCAGCAAGAATGACCCAGAGCATGCGAAGGGATTCCTCCATGTGCTGCCACCGTGGATGCACGGTCAATTTGTCTAGATAATATATTTTGGGCAGCGAAACTCCAAGACAAATTGTCGCCATGTGGTGGAGTGCCAAGTCCAGACACCGCACACGCATACACATTCGACCAAAACATGACCCATGGCCTCCATCGCACTGTGCCAAAGGTAACGCATTCCATGATAAGAGGCTGCTGCGACTGCAGGAAGAACAAAATGCAGTTCACCGGCAACATCCGATACAGCATGCGCCACCACACATCTCATTGGATTGGGGTTGCGAGGTTGAGAAAGGAGCGCGGGGTCCCCCGGACATATTGTTTCAGTTTTGAGGGCGTGGTCGGAGTGCATGGAATGTTCTATCACCAACGGCGGAGCGTGAAAACACACCCTCTGATAAGTAGACCACAGATGAAACGAGGACGGTGTCCCCTTCAATATGTGAGTGAACGGCAGACGAACTGTCGCAGCAGGTGGGCACGGTGGTGAGCAGAAATCCCCACCGATGGCCATGCTAAGTTTGCGATCAGACTTAACAAGTTGTACAGTCGATCAAACGACTCCGGCCGCGGTTCGCGTCGATCGTACACCGCGACATTGTCTTCCATCCATGCCTCAAAATCCCGCCGAGACGGTCACTGACAGTCAGGGATCAGCATGTCATGAAGTGTACGTAGCCCTCACTCCGCGAGATGGCGGTACCATCCGCGATGACTGCGAAGCGCAAAAGATAGACTCGTATCTGTGTCTGATGTCGGCTCCAGTAAGAGTGGGTGGCGGTTAAGCCAGGGTGGCGCGTGTATGAGTTGCTCGAGGGTCGGTGGAGCCGGCCACAACGTTGTGATGGGAATTCGACCCCATTCCGACCACACATGCAGCCAAAATGGTGGCAGCACCAGTAGCACAAGCAAAGTTGTTCAAATACTGGGAGCGTATAGTAGAACGTCCCAATGCTCTGGGCAGAAAAAGTGGCCCGCACACCGACGCCACAGTTCTCCGGGAAGGATAGTCCACATACCACATGCTTGTGTCACAAGCATCCAAGTGCACAAGCAACTGCAATCGTTGCACTAGCTGGGTCCGCAGCCGGGAGGGTATATGGGGGACTCGCAGGCCGACATCACGGATGTTGGCTAGTCCGTAGTTGGTTGGGGGAAATATATCTATCCCCGCGTTTTACGCGACAACCGAGCATGTACTTTGGCAGCATGCCCTTTGCCATCCAACTGAGAGAGGGCAGGTATGACTGCGGTATAGTGCCACGGATTCGACAAGACATCGTATTGGCAATGAGACGCATGCCTTTTAGAGCCCGGACGCGACACCCCCATGTCACGAACGACTGGTAGAACGTGTCCGAGATCAGGTTCAATTGAACCTGTGATGTGAGTGTTTGTGACCAAGGTAGATTCCCAACTAGCGTATTGGGACGCCACTTGCCACCATGCCTAAGGTGGATTATGATGGTTTGGTTGTCGTTTAGTGTCAGGACTTAGCACTTGCTGCGGTTGAGCTTGGCTCCTGAGACGGAGGAAAACTTGTCCACCAGGTCGAGTTGGCGTTCAATGTTTTCGAGAGCAGAGGTCAGTAACGTGGTATCGTCGGCGATGAATAACGCCGTGCCGATCTGCGACTCCGAGAATGGTAGGCCCAACTCCTCATGTTCTTGTAAGATCATGCTCAGGGGGTCCCCCGAGAGCACTAACAGCAAAGACGAGAGAGGGTCACACTGTTTCACTCCACGTGAGGTGGGCAAAGAGATGGTGGTAGAGGAGACGAAGCCACTGCAGAACGTTGGGACCAAAGTTGAAGGCCTCCAACGTGTC